GGGACTCTCGGGGTCAGAACCGTTCCTAAGGCGGACTGCGTGGACTCTCGGGGTCAGGACTGTTCCTAAGGCGGACTGCGGGGACTCTCGGGTCAGGACTGTTCCTAAGGTGGACTGCGGGGACTCTCGGGGTCAGAACCGTTCCTAAGGCGGACTGCGTGGACTCTCGGGGTCAGGACTGTTCCTAAGGCGGACTGTGGGGACTCTCGGGTCAGGACTGTTCCTAAGGTGGACTGCGGGGACTCTCGGGGTCAGAACCGTTCCTAAGGCGGACTGCGTGGACTCTCGGGGTCAGGACTGTTCCTAAGGCGGACTGTGGGGACTCTCGGGTCAGGACTGTTCCTAAGGTGGACTGCGGGGACTCTCGGGTCAGGACTGTTCCTAAGGTGGACTGCGGGGAGTCTCAGGTCAGAACCGTTCCTAAGGCGGACTGCGGGGACTCTCGGGGTCAGGACTGTTCCTAAGGCGGAGTGCGGGGACTCTCGGGTCAGAACCGTTCCTAAGGCGGACTGCGGGGACTCTCGGGTCAGGACTTTTCCTAAGGTGGACTGCGGGGACTCTCGGGTCAGAACCGTTCCTAAGGCGGATTGCGGGGACTCTCGGGGTCAGGACTGTTCCTTAGGCGGACTGCGGGGACTCTCGGGTCAGGACTGTTCCTAAGGCGGATGCGGGGACTCTCGGGTCAGAACCGTTCCTAAGGCGGACTGCGGGGAGTCTCAGGTCAGAACCGTTCCTAAGGCGGACTGCGGGGACTCTCGGGGTCAAGACTGTTCCTAAGGTGGACTGCGGGGACTCTCGGGTCAGGACTGTTCCTAAGGTGGTCTGCGGGGACTCTCGGGGTCAGGACTGTTCCTAAGGCGGACTGCGGGGACTCTCGGGTCAGAACTGTTCCTAAGGCGGACTGCGGGGAGTCTCAGGTCAGAACCGTTCCTAAGGCGGACTGCGGGGACTCTCGGGGTCAAGACTGTTCCTAAGGCGGACTGCGGGGAGTCTCGGGGTCAAGACTGTTCCTAAGGTGGACTGCGGGGACTCTCGGGTCAGGACTGTTCCTAAGGTGGACTGCGGGGACTCTCGGGTCAGGACTGTTCCTAAGGCAGACTGCGGGGACTCTCGGGGTCAAGACTGTTCCTAAGGTGGACTGCGGGGACTCTCGGGTCAGGACTGTTCCTACGGTGGACTGCGGGGACTCTCGGGGTCAGGACTGTTCCTAAGGCGGACTGCGGGGACTCTCGGGGTCAAAACCGTTCCTAAGGCGGACTGCGGGGAATATCGGGGTCAGGACTGTTCCTAAGGCGGACTGCGGGGAGTCTCGGGGTCAGAACCGTTCCCAAGGCGGACTGCGGGGACTCTCGGGGTCAGAACCGTTCCTAAGGCGGACTGCGGGGACTCTCGGGTCAGAACCGTTCCTAAGGCGGACGGCGGGGACACTCGGGGTCAGAACCGTTCCTAAGGCGGACTGCGGGGACTCTCGGGTCAGAACCGTTCCTAAGGCGGACGGCGGGGACACTCGGGTCAGAACCGGTCCTAAGGCGGACTGTGGGGACTCTTGGGTCTGAACCGTTCCTAAGGCGGACTGCGGGGACTCTCGGGTCAGAACGGTTCCTAAGGCGGACGGCGGGGACACTCGGGTCAGAACTGTTCCTAAGGCGGACTGCGGGGACCCTCGGGGTCAAGACTGTTCCTAAGGCGGACTGCGGGGACTCTCGGGGTCAGGACTGTTTCTAAGGCGGACTGCGGGGACTCTCGGGTCAGGACTGTTCCTAAGGCGGACTGCGGGGACTCTCGGGGTCAGAACCGTTCCTAAGGCGGACTGCGGGGACTCTCGGGTCAGAACCGTTCCTAAGGCGGACTGCGGGGACTCTCGGGGTCAGGACTGTTTCTAAGGCGGACTGCGGGGACTCTCGGGTCAGGACTGTTCCTAAGGCGGACTGCGGGGTCTCTCGGGGTCAGGACTGTTCCTAAGGCGGACTGCGGGGTCTCTCGGGGTCAGGATTGTTCCTAAGGCGGACTGCGGGGACTCTCGGGTCAGGACTGTTTCTAAGGCGGACTGCGGGGACTCTCTGGTCAGAACCCTGCTTACCTTTCCAGATGCCAGGTCTACTCCCCCTGCGGGCGCTCCTGGAACTCACCAGAAGAACGCTGTCTCTCTCCCTCTGAGACTGTGCTGCCTTTCAGACCTAGTCCCTGTTGCAGTACATTTATCGTTTTGCTTTCCTTCTAAGTTCAAACAACCTAAAAATTGTGTTTTATTTATTTTATATCCGCAGGGCCTGGCAAAATGCCAAGCCTGTAGAGTGTTCTTAATAAACATTAATCCATCTCTCCAGCCTGAACTTAAAGACTTTCCATAACAGTAGGCTCATTATTTTTGTCTAAAATGTTTTCTCTTTAGAAGTAATATAATCAATCACATTATAAAAGGCTTCAAAAACATTGTGGGGAAAAGCTAACCACAACCTTCTATAAATTTGTGTTTCACTGTGCTCCCTTTTAATCTACATTTTACATAGATATGGTTGTTCCATCCCCTGAAAAAAAAGATGTAATAATACATTTAGATAGCATATCCTATGAGCCAAATACTTTTGTAGGCATTTTGTACACATTAACATTTTTAAAAAATATTTTTTATTTATTTATTTTTTTTAGAGAGGAAGGGAGAGAGAGAGAGAGAAACATTGATGTGAGAAACATCCATCGGCTGCCTCCTGCACACCCTCTACTGGGCAACCCAGGCATGTGCCCTGACTGGAATTGAACCCGGGACCTCTCAGTCCATGAGATGACGCTCCATCCGCTGAGCCACACTGGCCGGGCTGCACATATCAACATTTTAGTTTTGTGGGGATCCTGTGAGGTAGCTACTCTTACTATTTCCATTTTACAGAGAAGAGAAAATGGCACCAAGGAAAGTTGACTTGTCCTGAATCACACGGCTGAGCAGATGGTGCAGCCGTGGCTTGAACTCATGAAGTGTGATGTCCAAGCACAGGTTGTATTTCCTGGAAAGGATTAAATCACACAGTACATGGAAAGCACTTAGAACAGGGTCCTAACCTGTGACATCAAGTCACTAAACACTGGCTATGATCACCACTGCCATGGTACTGGCTACACTGAATGTAATCTGTTGCATTTCACTGGAAGTCATAGCTTATCATTAAATGAGGTCAGTTTTACCTTACATTAGATCAAAGATAATTTTTATTCCTACCATGCTCTCTTATTACCTTTTTCATGACAGCTCAATATCCTAATAGCCCTGCAATAGTTCATTTGTTGTAGTTCTTGATTATATTTCTTTTAATCTTTCATTACTATATATAACAGTCTGAGCATCATCTTTGTGCATTAAGTTTTCCCCCTTACTTTAGACAATTTGATTTAAGGAGAAATCCCCAGAAGTAAGAATTATGTACTAAAGGGCTTGAACATTTTTAGGCTTACTTATTCTGATCAGATACGGTTTTGCAAAGGCCTTATTTCATAACTATGTTTTAGGGACTCTGGTCAGCAATTCAGTATTTACAATTGTTATAAGACTTACTTCCATTAATATTAGCTTCACCCAAAGAACCTACACAAAATAAATCTCCACCCTTTTCAATAAGACAGACTTTCAAATACTGAACTTTTAAAAAATATTTTCCTCCCGCCCGCACCTGATAGTCTCTCAGCTCTGCGCCCACCCACCCCCTGTATCATCCCCAAGTCCCCTGCAGACATTCTTCCTGCGGGCTAAGCATCCCTGTCGTCCCCTCAGGCTTCTCTGGTTTGAGAAAACGACCAGACTTGTGACCACCTGAGTCATAGTCTTTTAAACACGTTCCCCGGGCCTCCCTCGCTCTTCTTTGGGGAGTCCCGGCGTGGCCAGACAGGGCAGGGCACCGGGTGTCACGGCGCTCAGCCAGGGCATCTGTTCCAGCCACGAAAACGAAGCTCACGCTCGCATATTGGCCCAGATACGCTGCTGGCTTGCTGCCAACCAAACCCCCCACGATGTCTTCACAAAGATGCCAGTGAAGCCAGGCTTCCCACATCCTGATGTCGATGATAGTGTGCAGCTAAGTGGAGTTATTTACATTGGTTTTCACATGAACTTTAACTAGTTTGTTAGTGAAGTTATTTACATTGGTTTTCACATAAACTTTAACTAGTTTGTTTAAGTCTTTTCCCAGAATGCCGAGGTATTTCTGAGTGCCACACGGGCACACTGATGTGCGCGGTGGACGCTTTCATGCTTTCTGTGTCTTCATGGAAGACATTATCAGGGATACAGGCCAAGACATCCCCAGGGCAGCCGGACGGTGCCTGATGGAGTCGTTTCGTTGCCAGCAGTCAGCGTGCGGACAGAGCTAGTCCACCCGCCATGAATCAGCCGTGGTGAACCACCCACGCACCTTGGCAGTCGGCCACGTGTGTCCATTCCGTTTCTGAAGCCATCTAGGGAGATCTTGTGTCATGGCTCGCTGGGACTAAAATAAATCATGATTATATTTTTTTCACGAATTATTACCTGAGTGATCATTTTTAATTCTGTCTAAAAAGACATGCATTATTTTAACCCGAGTCTCAGAACCATCCCTGTTTTGCAAGCACTCACAAACCGGCATAGGCGAATGTTGAATCGTACATGGTCCAATGTGCATAGTTCCTGACATCTCTATTCAGTTACCCCTGTGTGTTTCATAAACGAACTCAGCAGCAGGCGTCACCACGAAGTATTATTTATCCTGCAAATTAAAATATATGATTAAGTAACATAAAATGAAATATCTTGAGGTCTCTCTCCTACGTATTTTCCGGGTTATTTTATTCAGATCAATGTGCAGTTTGGAGATGACTCCCTGCTCGCTTTAGATCGCGTCAGATGACTCACGGGGGGACCATTTGATTACGTCTATGGGAACTGCTCTCAGCGGTCTTAGAAGAGCCGTAAAGGAACTAGCCTACGATGCTTCTTATCGCTGAAAGTGCTAACCGAGTGGTCTGACTTCCAGGGTGCTCATCGGTTCGCCTCTGGCTGGCCAGCCCAAGAACAGGACTGGGGACGTCTACAGGTGTCCCGTGGGCAGAGGGGAGGCGTTGCCTTGCGTCAAGCTGCATCTGCCAGGTAGGTGACGCCCAAGGGTTCAAGTCTGCTCCTAAGTAATGCCCCGTGTTCTAACGGAAAGTTAGGTTCAACCAACTGAAGAAACTATTGGAAGTAGCCCATAAACAGCCCTGGCCAGTGTGGCTTAGTGCTTTCAGTGTTCGTTGGTCCTTAGTATTGAAAGGTCATGGGTTCGATTTCCAATCAAGGACATGTACCTGGTCTCAGGTTTGGCAACTGATTGATGTGTCTCTCTCATATCAATCTCTCTCTCTCTCTCTCTCTCTCTCTCTCCCCCCTCCCTCTCTTCCTCCCTTCCACTCTCTAAAAAAAAAAAAAAAAATCAATAGAAAAATATCCTCGGGTGAGGATTAACAACAAACAAAAGGAACCTATAAGCAGTCTTCAGTTTTTATCATTTAGATTCACACAGAGTGACACCTGGCTTCCCTGCCCTTCACTGGGTGCAGACATTCACCCTCGACTACCCATAGACTTAGACTCAGAGGCTCTGACTGGTGTCTACCCAACGGCCACCGAGTTCAGCATCCTTTGCAAAGCCAGTGGTGACATGACGCAGGTGTTCCAACCCACCTGTCCATCACCTCTGCTCCACAAAACTTAACTCAGTGTTGTTTTTAAATAAGACAAGAAGAATTATAATAGATAAGTCAATGTTTTAAAAGAGAAGAGCACAAGGTGAGTCCGTACTGAACTAGAGATGTGTGACGGAAGGGTCACTGCAGTTACGACACGGCCAGAAAATGCCTGCCGGAGCCAGCCAGCAGGCGTCCCGCGAGAGACCAGATGCCATGGGCGTGACCTGCAGTCATTCAGATAGTGTGCTTCCAGTTCTCCTTCTTAAAACATCTCCTGTTTGTTTACATGACCATTTTCTTCCTCTACATTCACAAGCACAGTGACAATAGCTGTGTCGATACCCGTTTCAGATCATCCCGACTTCTGGAAAATCTCACCATCGCTTTCCATGTGTTGCTTTCTCTGAAGCTAGGGCCACCTCTTCCTGTTTCTTCCTGAGTACAGGAGGTTGGGATGATATCCTGGGTCACACTTCGGAGCTGTAAGTGTGGAGATCCGGGTGTCACCTGCCTTTGAATCGTCTCACCCTTTGGTTTTAGTGGGCAGGTGGCTCGGCCGCACTGTGCCCACGCTGGGCTGTCTGAAGTTGTCCCTGCCCATGTGCAGTCCAGGTCATGCAGATGTTTGGACAGGACACATGTGTACATGTTAGAACGCTCCTCGTGGCTCCGCTTTCCAAGGTACCCCCCCCCCCCACTTCTTAGTTACTGTCATTGCCCCATCTCTGTCCTCGGTTGTTTTCAAGAGAGAAAGTCGGAAAGAGTTCTCCTTGAGGTTTAGGCACTGACGAGGGCCTTCCCTTGCGGGAACACACACACACACACACACACACACACACACACACAGAAACAGGAGACCCAGCCACTGCTGAGCTCTTCCTGCAGGTACGTGCGCCCCTCCAGTTTCCGCCGCTTTTGGCTGCTCCCCGCTGCCCAGAGATGGCGGTTTGACACATCCTCTTCCTTCTCCTGGAGGCTACAGTCTCTGTCTATGGAAGAGTTTACGACAGGAGCTGCTGCTCCGTTGCTAGCAGCTGGACAGTTTGCACGCTGGCTGGCGATGTCAGCTACTTGAAGAACGCAGGACGGACGGACAGCTGTCGGAGTGGGGGTGGGGCTGGAGAAAGGAAGGTGAGGGGATTAGCCAAAGACCCTATGTGCACAGCCCGTGGACACGGACACGGTGAAGATGGGGGGGGGGGGCGCTAGGTGGAGGTGGATAGAAGGGGGTAAAGTGGGGGACATCTGTAATAGTATCAGAATTTTTTTTTTAATGCTTACAATGAAAAATGAAATAAAGAAAGAACAGTAGGAAAGTTTCCACTCTGGTCTGTGACGTCCCAGGGAGGGTCACCCGGGGCCAGCCCCCGTATAAAAAACTCTAACCCAGATTATTCAAGACCATTGCAGAGTGCAGTCCAGTCCCAGGCGCTTTGACAGCAAATCAGACTAACCCGAGACCGGCGTTCAGATTCAGACGGCGATGTGACCATTCAGGAATCTCTTCCATCCCTCCTCCAGCTAATATATAGGTCGTCCTAAGGGAGCAGCAACTCCCAGGCGTGAACAGGGAGACACAACCTCCTTGAACTGGAGTTTTGCCCCTTTAAACATGTCAGTACTCCACCAAGCAGGTTTAGAAGCTGTTGCTTTTCCTGTCCAATCTTTTACTTTTTTACGATGAATAAGTAGAACTTTTTTTGCCAGTTTTGCCAGTTGGCATGCGTTAAGACCCAGCATTGTGCCCGGCCGGTGTGGCTCAGTGGTTGAGCGGCGACCCTGCACCAAGAGGTCGCCAGTTCGATTCCCGGGCAGGGCACATGCCCAGGTTGTGGGTCCGATCCCCAGTAGGGGGCGTGCAGGAGGCGGCCAATCCATGTTCTCTCTCATCGATGTTTCTCTCTCTCTTTGAAACCAATAAAGGAGCCCTGGCCGGTTTGGCTCAGCGGTTAGAGCGTCGGCCTGCGGTCCAGAGAGACCCGGGTTCGGTTCCCGCTAAGGGCACGTACCTCGGTTGCAGTTTGTCCCCGGCCCTGGTCGGTCGTGCGGGTGGCAGCCACTCGATGTGTCCCTTCACATCGATGTTTCTCTCTCTCTCTCTCTCTGTTCCTCTCTCTCCCTCCCACTCTACCTGAACAAAAAATAGAAAAATGTCCTCTGATGAGGATTAAAACCAATAAAGGAAAAAAGAAAAAAAAAAGACCTGGCATTGCTGTTTGGAATGTCAAAGGTAGTCCCTTCACTGTGCCTTCTTAAAAATCTAAACTTCCTGTCCACCGCCCTGGTCTAGCCCCAGTGTTCTCTGTAACCCTCATGCTGTCCCCATGATGTTCTCACTAATGGTCATGAAAATCGCGTCTGACTTTTCTTCTCTGGTCCTCTCTCCATTGCCCTTCTTGCCAGGAGTCATGTTTCATCACGGGTCACAAATAATATGTGGGTCTAACGTGGAAGGAAAGGGTGTAGGTTTACATTTATCTGCAATGTCGTGAGGCTGAAATCTTTATTTGTTTTAATTAGCAAACGTGTGTGAAAGGCAGCCCACACCCTCCGCCCCGATGGCTCTGCATTCCTTCACAGTCCAGCAAAACTATTTGGGACGATGCTCCAGATCACGAGTCTGGGACCTCAGCCACGGCCCCAGCCCCTCTGCACTGTAGTCCTAAGCGTACTCGGGAGAGTGTGTGGCTGGACGAGGGAATGAGCCATGACGGGAGCAAAGCTAATAGAACGTTTTAACGGGAAGACAGTTTCACGTTGTTCTCCGCCTTCACAAAACTGTGTCCTGTTTCCAGTGAATACGTCCATCCCCAACGTCGCAGAAGTGAAAGAGAACATGACGTTCGGAAGCACCTTGGTCACCAACCCCAACGGCGGGTTTCTGGTAAGAAAGCAGAGTCGTGAGACTTGGTGAGCGAGCGATGCTCTCGTCGTACGTCTTCGGCGAGTCTCGCGCGTGATCTTGAGTCTCACGGTTTCTCATTTCCCCCCAAGGCCTGTGGGCCCCTGTACGCCTACAGATGTGGACACCTGCACTACACGACCGGGATCTGTTCCGACGTCAGCCCCACCTTCCAGGTGGTCAACTCCATCGCCCCCGTGCGAGGTACAGGTCCTCCTGGGCCCTTCCCTGGTGACAGCTGGGTGGTGAGACATGAGTCCACAGGACCACGCCAAAAAGCCCGCCCCAGTTTCTCAGCTACTGGTGTTACCAGTTTAGGGGGCCGTTGGCTTTGCCAATCTATAGCCGAACCTCGCTGCCATCTTTGGAATCAATATTAGTGTCAACACCTTTACGGAATAGTGTTTACACACCCTGGCTAAGGCTGCCCCATTGTTTTTATTTAAAGAGCGAGTGTCCGGGAGGTGGGACCTCGTGTGCGATACCCCCAGCGTGAGGACTGTTCTAGGGAATCCGTCTGAGGGCCTTTCCAAAGATAACTCAGGCACGTTCGTGCCGTCGGGGAGAGGGGAGTCTTATTTGATGAGGGCTCTACACCCCCGGTTACGGAATGCAATGCGTATCACTTCACTTTTCCTAAAACTACTTTTATGATGACACACGCAAGGCGCCCACTTTGTGAGACACCAGTGGACGTTGTAACGGGCGCTCGCCCGCGGCTCCGAGGAGCCGGGCCCCGCGGTCGTCAGCGGACCCTGTCTTGCAGAGTGCGGCACCCAGCTGGACATCGTCATCGTGCTGGACGGCTCCAACAGCATCTACCCCTGGGACAGCGTCACGGCCTTCCTGAACAGCCTGCTGGAGAGGATGGACATCAGCCCGAAACAGACGCAGGTGCGGGGCTCTGCGCGTCACCTCTCGTCGGGACGGTTTTACCTTACGTAACCCCTTCCGGTTCTTCATCAGAGGGACATTATGGGCAGACTACACAATTTTCTAAACAGAAAATACCATGAAAGCTGCCATTTCCAGCGCCCTTGGAAAAGGTCCCCTAGAGCTCTCTGTGAAATCTTGTTCTTAATTATACACTAAGTGTGGCCACCTTGGTGATGTCAGAGCAGAGCTACAGAATCTGGGGAACTGAGTGACAGTCTCCTTTCTCGTAGATGCAGATACAGTGGGAACTGGCCACAGGCTATTGCTTAAAGTCCATTTTCCTTCCACTTAACCATTTCTTCTCTTGAACACAAAGCAAAGTTCTTGCTTGCGCTGCAGTGAGTCAAATAGATTTTGTCTTTTCTGTCACCCCATGGTGTCTGCTTCTAAACACCGTCCTTTTATTGCCACTCAATGTCGTGGAACTCCCCGCGTGGCTCTTCCGCTTTAGACACGGAGTTTGGGTGTAATGCATCTAATTTTTATTGAACGTTTATGGCCATGTGGCTGAAAATGTAGAGAAGACACAGGGGGTACCAGGCGGCCTGCATGTCGAAGTCAAGTCAGTGCCCTGAGCGGAGGAATTAGCACGGAATCGGAGCCAGTGTGGTTCCTGGTGTGGGGACCGTAGGACCGCGGGGGGCCGTGGCCGCACCTGCAGGCAGGGGGTCCCTTCCCTCGCTGACAGCCCTGCTGGCCCTGGGAGACATTCCTGAGGCACTGATGCAGCAGCCTGGCCCCTTCAGGGTTCAGCACACCCACATAAAACTGAGGTGTAAATACACGCACGTCTATACATATGTGTGCATAGATGCATACGCATACATAAACATATATAAAGGCATACACACCTATCTGTGTATGTGGCCATATAAATATATAGAGAAACACAATGTCCCCACAAAGATGGATGGTAGTTGAGTGCAGGTGGCCCGAGCCCCCTCGGTGGGATTCCGCGTGGCTGTCCCTTGGCTCCATGGGTCCCCTGAGAGGGTGAGGTGGAAGCCTGGTATACCTCCAGGAGGACAGGGAACTCGAACTCTGGGTGAAGCCACTCAGAGAAAATGGACTTGTTCACATCAGGAGCACCCGTTTCCTGGGCGGAAGGTTCTCGCAGTTGACCTTCCCCAGGGGGCCAGCAGGGGCTCGGAGAGGCTGGTGGTCTCTTCCTGCTACAGGGTGTCAGGGCCTGTGTCCCTTAAAAGGCCGCTCAGAATGGTGACAGCCCCTCCTGCCCGCACAGACCCTCTGTTTCCCTCCCGGTCCTCTCCCAGAGCCGGAAGCCAGGGGAACCGCAGAGGGCGTTTAGCCGAGAGTCTCCGTCTGCGGAGGGGCCCCCAGACTGGCCCGCGGCTCCTCGCTTGTTGACCACATGGGGCACAGCCCTCAACGGCAGTCCCGAGTCCTCTCCTTCCCGGGGGAAGGTTCCAGGTGCCCCATGCGACGGCCTGAAGTAGTGGGTCTCTAGTCCTTTCCATCTTATGACGCTGGCCGCGTCCTTCCCAGGCCAGCCTCGAGCGCCGGGTGCCCCCTCCCTGCACGGACACCCCTGAAGTCCAGCTGCTCGACCCCAGCTCTCCCCTCGCGCCACGTCCCACGCTGTGCATCCCTCCCTCCCTCCGGCCTTCCCCACCCCCTGGCCTTCTGGCCAGTCCTTTCTTTCCAAAGCTCAGACCAGTCTTGGAACGTTTTAAAATTTATAATATTTTACAGTCATCTGAGCATTTGATTTTACTTGGGAATTCACTTATCCGGTTTACTATAAAAAATGTAATTTATGTGCAGCTCTTGGCGGCAAGGAGGGGCGCCGCCATCCGTCCGAAGTTGTCACACAGCTTCAGGGAGAAAATCGACAGACTGCAGAGTCCCCGTCGCTGCGTCAGTGGGGCTCGGGGAGGGGGCTGGGCTGCGTGAAGAAGAAATAACAACCCTCTGCTTTAGGCTCAAGCCTTCTGCTGCGATTTTCCGATCCCTAACTGCGAACCATAATTACTTTTACATTTCTGCGGTGAGACTAATAGAGGGGCTATTCTTCCTCCTGACCAGAGGCACCCCAGCCCACCAGGGTGGGCTTTGAGGAGCTGTGTCTTTCTCAGAGGGAACAATGACTTTATTCAGAGGGATGGGGACAGCCTGGGGGCCCAGTGCAACCAGCGAAGGGGAGGGACCGGCAGTCACGCTGAGGCAGAGAGGTCACGGTTCCTGAGTTCCCGACCCCACTGCACAGAGAGGGGACTTCGGGGCAGCTCTGTACACAGTGATGTGTAGGATCTGCACAGTTCACCCACGGGAGACTGCTCCCCGAAGAGCTGCTCAGATTTCTACCCCGCGTTGCCTGTTCCCTCGCTGTGGGGATGGCGCCAGGTGGCCTTTCATTTGTTCAGGGTTTTCTTGAGGGCTGACCGGGCAGCCGCTCTGTGCTGGGGCTCGGAGGACCATGGAGAGTAAGACGCGGTCACTGCCTGCATGGAGCTTGTGTCTAATGCGGTGTTTCTGCAAGTGTGGCTCACGGGGTCCCTTCCCCGGAACCCCTGAGGTGTGGGCACTGTCCCCCAGACTTTCAGAGCTGGATGCTCTGAGCTTGGGACTGTGCAGCTGGCACTGTGAGAAAGCCGTGCGCACAATTCCTCCGCAGGCTCCAGTTGGAGAGACAGCAGACTAATGCATTCAAATTGTACTGGGGAGTGTGTGTGTGTGCGTGCATGTGCATGTGTGCACGTGTTTGCGTGTGTGCACGTGTTTGCGTGTGTGCATGTGCGTGTGTGCATGTGCATGTGTGTGGTGCGTGTGTGGTGTGTGTGCGTGCGTGTGTGCTGTGTGCGTGGGCGTGCTCTGCCTCCTCCAATTACAGGCACCTCATCCTGTGTCCTTGTCAGCGGCCAGCCGGCCTCTCAGTGACCACTTGAATAAGTATGTTGATCACCATGAATGCTTCTAGACTCTTTCTCTGCCTGGTGGACATTTAATGAGACTTATTCCTATAAATGGCATTTTCATATTCTGTTCAGAATCTGCTTTAGGCTTTAGTATTTATACTCTGGTATTTCCTCATCTTTTTCTAGTTTGGCTTAAGTTGTATTAACGACAAGTTTCATCGGTAATTCTCTAAGCAAAAGTGACCAGCAGGACGTGTCCAGTGAGCCACGGCTTTCGCCAGACTGCGCTCAGTGGGTTTTAGGTGTGATGGTCGAAACTCTCTTTAACATTTGACCTTCCTTCAGTGGATTCAGAAAAGAAACTCATTCATAGAAAATTTGGAAAGATGCGTCCTCTTCATAGGGGTACTGAGAAGTCTGCTTATCTTCCATGTGGTCCTGGAGTTACAATCTCCAAAACCAGACAGTTAGTTTTAATCATTTCTTTCCCGACTGGTTGCTAACATAATTTAAATAAGTGTGTGTGTGTGTCTGTCTGTTTTTTCAATTAAAGCACCTAATTCTGCCCTGGCCGGTTTTCTCAGCGGTTGGCGCGTCGGCCCGCGAACCACAGAGACCCGGGTTGGGTTCCCGCTAAGGGCATGTACCTCGGTTGCAGTCTGTCCCCGGCCCTGGTTGGGGTTGTGTGGGTGGCTACCACTTGATGTGTCTCTCTCACATCGATGTTTCTCTCTCTCTTCCTCCCTCCCTCCCTCCCACTTTGTCTGAAGATAAATGCAAAAAATGTCCTCGAGTGAGGATAAAAAAATAAAATAAAAAAATAAAGCACCCAATTCTGCCCTAAGAGCGGCAGGGGCAGCTTGTGCCCCCCCCCCCTTTCCGAGGGGCAGACAGGAGTGTGAGCGAGGCTGGCCCAGGGGCGCTGCAGAGACAGACAGGGAGGAGCCGGTGGAGGGCTCTTGGACTCCAAGCGCATACCCAAGTACACGGGTCTTCAGAATGGAGTGGGTGGGGTGGGAGGAGCACTTATCCGTAGAAAGAGCCTCATGAGGGAGGCTTCAGGCTTCAGGGCAGCGGTGCAGTGAAGCCGACAGGGGTCCCCTGGAGTGGGGACACAGTGCCTAGCATGTGACTCCTGCCTGACACACCGGCTGCGGGGGGCGAGCCAAAGCCGAGGCAGTTGCGCTGGGGCTGGCCTGCCCTCCCCGAGTTCATCAGCATGAAGAATGCATGTGTCCCGGGGACCCGCACGGGGTCCTGTCGGTCCCTGTCACACAACCTCCCGCAGGGCAGAGGAGAGCGGGAGACAGCCCGCGGCCTGGGGACAGCAGGGGTGAAATACGTGCACTCAGGCCAGGGTGCAGGCGAGGGGACAGCCCCGAAAGCCCTCTAGAAAGCTGTACACACCTGTTAGCAGCATCCTTCCTAGGACAGTGCCGGCCAAGGAGAAGCCCCTACGCCCTTTGCTTACCTTCCCACCTCTGCCCCTGGGCAGGCCAGAAACTGAAATCAGCTGTGGGCAGGGAGATGGGCAGGAACCGGCCGGCCTGCCCGACCCTCTGAGCTCCAGGCTTCACCTCCGGTGGGAGGACAGTCACACATCAGTGCTGCTCGCTGATCGTCTGTCTTGTTACTTTGTCTCCATTCAGGTTGCGCCATATGAAACTGTTGCTGTTTGACCATTCTGTGACCTACAAACACAGCGGTTTTGTGGCACAACCTACATTAAAATACAGGACTTTTGCCCTGGCCGGTTTGGCTCAGCGGTTAGAGCGTCGGCCTGCGGTCCCGAGAGACCGAGGTTCGGTTCCCGCTAAGGGCACGTACTTCGGTTGCAGTTTGTCCCCGGCCCTGGTTGGTCGTGCGGGTGGCAGCCACTCGATGTGTCCCTTTCACGTCGATGTTTCTCTCTCTCTCTCTCTCCCTCCCACTCTATCTGTACAAAAATTGGAAAAATGTCCTCGGGTGAGGATAAAAAAAAAAAAATACAGGACTTTTAAATTAACAGATGTTTTAAAACTAAGAATAAGCAAAGTCACAAGACACATATCTTTACATCCAGGGACCGCAGAACAACTTCAC